TCTCAGTGAAATTTATTGCATAAGCGTAGTGTCAATTGTTTGTTTACTATGCATGAAGGTTCAGACTTGATATTTTTATACTTTCTTTTCAATGAATATATTGCAGACTTTTAGATTGAGGAAGAAATGATACATACCCTGAATACTTGTAGCCTAGATGGTAACTTTGTCCTTGAGAGATTGATGAGCGGTAAATAAATGGGCATATGGGTTTATTAGGTTGATGAAAGTCGATGTGAGAATGATCACACAGTTTGTCAAATTTACAGGAGTTGGGTTTATCTGTTGAGTCTGATTTTTATCTGTTCATAAAAATTTACTATGTTGGCATTTGATTTTGTGAACCACAAAATACTCATAGACTTTTTAGCCTTCATGGACACTCTAAAAAGATTAAAAGGTGGTAGTTTGATACTCAAAACTTTGGGATTCTTGTATAGGGCCCTGTGACTCTGTTCTTGATGCCATTGAAGTTGAGTTGCAATTGTGCTCTGCCTTTGTACAGATAAGCCTGTTAATTTTTAATCATTCTCTTCTTAACTTAACTGTTGGATTTGTAGAATTGCTTGGATTAGCTTCTTCCTCCTTGCAGCCTATCAGAACTCTATTGTGAGATATTTGGAGAGAAATGGAGCGCAACCCGAAAAAGGAATCAGATCCTTCACAAAAGGGACTGCTGCAGAGTGATGAGTTATATCAGGTTCCACACATTCTCTCAACTTTTGTTATGCTCTTTCTGTAAATTTTTTGACATTTCATTTTGAAAATGTGGCAGTATATCTTGGAGACTAGTGTATATCCCCGTGAACCGGAGCCTCTCAAGGAGCTAAGGGCTGCCACTGCCAGCCACCCAAGGTTGTCGTCCTTCTTATCTTAGCGCTTATGATGTTGATTAAATCATATACATCCCAAGGTGGCCTGCATCTTAAGTTTCATTAAGCTTCTTGATAACCAAGCCATAACTTGACATGTGAGTGAGTGAAAACTATTAAGGTGGATTATTAATAAGCTTGTTATTTTTTAGGTCTCAGATGGCTACTGCACCAGATGCAGGTCAGTTAATGACTATGCTGTTGAAGCTAGTAGATGCAAAGAAGACAATCGAAGTTGGTGTTTTCACCGGATACTCTCTTCTCCTCACTGCTCTTACAATTCCTGAGGATGGCAAGGTCTGCCACTACTAATTCTGAATTTGCTTATTTGTCATGCGAGGCTATAATAAAAGAATATGCTGAAAGCTAGTAAGTAATGAACTTCCATGTACTTGAAACTATTTATGGTTCTGAATACCTTATTGCAGATTGTAGCAGTAGATGTGAATCGTGAGGCATATGATCAAATAGGGTTGCCAATCATAAAGAAAGCTGGTGTTCAACACAAAATTGACTTCATTGAATCTGAAGCCCTACCAGTTCTTGATAAGCTACTAGAACATGTAAGTATTTTGCATTTGGAACCATTCTTTTCGGCTTAGCTGAAAACAACGAAGTTTGTGACTTAATTTTCTCATGGGTTGGGGATTATGTTGCAGCATGAAAATGAAGGCAGTTTTGACTTTGCTTTCATTGATGCCGACAAGGTGAACTATTGGAATTACCATGAGAGGCTAATGAAGCTGTTGAAGGGGGGTAGCATAGTTGTCTATGATAACACCCTCTGGGGAGGAACAGTTGTAATGCCTGAGGAATTGACTCCAGAATACATGAAACAAGGCAGACAGGCGACTATTGAGCTTAACAAGTTACTCGCAGCCGATGCTCGTGTCCAAATTTCACATGCTTCTTTGGGTGATGGGATCACAATTTGCAGGAGAATTAACTGATTCATGCTTGAAAGTTGAAATCTTACGTTTCTAAGCTTGAGCATTTGGCAATATTCCTATGCTAATGAGATTTGAATTATAAGTTTTCTGAACTCAGGAGTTTTAATGAAATAAATTTTTGCTGTAGTGATCTCTG